TGCAAGTGCTTTCATTTCTTTGCAATTGGGTGACATTGTCTTTCATTGTGAGTTTGCACTTTGGATATGACCAGGATCGTAACATTGATCATATCTGATCAGATCTGATCATATCTGATCGGATATGATCAGATATCATCATATCTGATCAGATCTGATCAGATGTGATCATATTTTATCATATCTGATCAGACCTGACCATATCTGATCAGATCTGATCAGGTCTGATCATATCTAATCAGACCTGATATGATCAGATCTGATCAGACCAGATGTGATCAGATCTAATCAGACGAGATTTGATCAGATCAGATTTGATCAGGGCTGATCAGAGCAGATCTTATAAGATGTGAGCTGATCTTATCAGACGTGAGCTGATCAGAGTTGATCAGACTACATCACCTCTGACACCATCGGATGTGATCAGATTACATCAGCTCAGAGGAGGAGGAGGTGGTCCTCCCACCCTCCTCTCCTCCCCCTGTCTCCTCCTCCTCCTTTCTCCTCGTGCTCCATTATCCTCCCCTCCTTTCTCCTCTTCCTTTGTCCTCCTCATTTCTCCTCCACCTTGATTCTCGTTGTCCTCCTCTCTCCTATTCTTTGAATTTGAATTTTTTATTTTTTCTGTTCTTGTTTTGTTTTTTTATTTTTTTGTGAATGTGAACTTAGAATGCAAATGTGTGATCTCGGTGGCATACAAACAAATGTGTCATCTTGCCTTCTTTCTTCTTTCTCGTCCTTACAATTTTCTTTTAATTTTTTTGTTCTTTCGGTGTATATGTAGTAAGTAACTTGGTGTTATAATACGTGTGTTGCAGGCACGAGGTGGATGGTAGACTGGTMGTGAATTTCGCAAAGCTGGGCCGTCTTTCGACTTTYATCTCACCGACTTGTACTGTCGCATGCGTACACGGGTAAGTTTTCATACTTTTCCAATCTTCGAGTACCGATTTTCCCTTGCAAAGAAATGACTCATCTACCARGCTATTGCTTCTCCCTGTAGGAGTTCATGATATGGTTGAGTTGCCACAAACGTCAGGTGGGTGAGTTCGTATGTGTAATTGATGGTTCATTCATTAATGACGGTAGACGAAGTACAAGCTGCATTATGACATCGTTCTCAGATCCAGAAATACAGTGAAAGGGAAAGTGATGGTCTGACAGTGTGATGGTTGACATGTTCCGGTTAACAAGAGGTGATTGATGTTTTACCCCAAATAACACGAACAGGAAACCGCCAAAAAAAAMCTAACGGAATTCGAGCACCGCAAAATTACGCATATGCCAAATTAATGYTGGAGAATATCTTAAAAAATRTTGTATGAAGCAAAAATCATTATTATTGAATCACCAACAGGCCGGTTGCTGCCTGTGGTCGGTTTCGGTTTGCCACATCCACCTCTTCGTTCTCCRTYGAGTGTGCCSATTTGGCCTCGTTCAACCAGGTCGCAAGTTTCTCAGCATCCGTTGAGACAGGACCAATATATGACGGACGAATGGTGAAATTACAGGATTATATCGTAGTGGTCGGCAGGTGCACCGTTCTCTTTTGCACAACCTTTTGCTTGCACGTCAAAAGATAGCAGACCTGCCGACCCGCGATCCTTGCAAAGGGAAGTGGGTCCATTAACGCTCAASTACCAGGTTGCAACTTAGTCACCATCCGCTGAGCCATAACCAATATATGACGGGAGAAAGGTACAGTAAATACGATTATATCGTAGTGGTCGGCAGGTGCGCCRTTCTCTTTTGCACAACCTTTCGCTTGCACGTAAAAAAACAGCGCATCTGCGGACCAGGGTTCCTTGTAAAGGRAAGTGGACCCATTCRCCGTGAAATACCTCTTCGCAAGTGAGTCAGCGTTCGTATGAGACGGGATCAATCGAAGTTGTTCGAAAGGTGCAGTAAATAGGATTAYATCGTTGTGGTCGGCAGGTGCGCCGTTCTCTTTTGCACAAGCTTTCGGTTGGACGTCAAAAGACAGCGCACCTGCCGACCCTGGTTCCTTGTAAAGGGAAGTGGACCCGTTCACCGTCAACTACCTCTTCGCAGGTGAGTCAGCATTCGTTGAGACGGGACCTAGCGATGACGGGCAAAAGGTGCAGTAAATAGGATTGCATCGTTGTGGTCGRCAGGTGCGCCGTTCTATTCTGCACAACCTTCCCCTTGCACGTCAGAAGCCAGCGCACCTGCCGACCCGCGATACAGGCAAAGGGAAGCGGGTCCATTAACCCTCAACTACCAGGTGGCAAGCGAGTCACCATCCGTTGAGCCATAACCAATATATGACGGTCCGGTGCGCAGTGACTAGGATTATATCATAGTGGTCGGCAGGTGCGCCGTTTTCTTATGCACAACCTTTCGCTTGCATGTCAAAAGACAGCGCACCTGCCGACCCGGGTTCCTTATAAAGGGAAGTGGACCCATTCGCCGTCAACTACCTCTTCGCAGGTGAGTCAGCATTCGTTGAGACGAGACCTATGGATGACGGACGAAAGGTGCAGTAAATAGGATTGCATCGTTGTGGTCGGCAGGTGCGCCGTTCTATTCTGCATAGCCTTCCCCTTGCACATCAGAAGACAGCGCACCTGCCGACCCAGGTTCCTTACAAAGGGAAGTGGGTTCATTTGCCCTCAACTACTAGGTTGCAAGTGAGTCAGCATCCGTTGAGACAGGAGCTACCGATGACGGCCGAAAGGTGCAGTACATAGGATTCTATCGTTGTGGGCGGCAGATGCGCCGTTCTCTTTTGCACAACCTTTCGCCCATTTAACCTCAACTACGACGTCCGACGCAAACCTTTGATCTATGTGTGCATTCCTTTGTCGATGTGTCGCATGTGTTAAGGTTATTGTGAGTCTCTGGMCCCGATGAGTGAGTACTTATCTGTTCGTCTGGAGGTCACCTCAAAGTGCTGGAGGTGGTCTCCCCGGCACCCTTCGAATTTTGTTCGAATTGCTTTTATTGAATTCTTCACAAGTAATGTCTCTTTTGTGTGTAGTTCTCCTTGCCATGAACGGGGGGGGG